GTCTAATCTAAAATATAATTGAATGTGGTTAAAAGTCTTTAAAACTACAATTTAACCAGTTTTGACTGATCAAGTCTAAGTACTTTTAAACGCTTCATCCGGCTAAATGGAGTTGGGCAAATTTTGAAGTATATTTTATACCTTAAAATATTATTTATATTTCCTTTCTTTTTTTCTAAAAGCCGGTACAAAAAAGTTTGCCTACTGGTTAGACCGATTTTGACTAACTGAACCTCTTACCTATTCGATGGCTAGTCTGATCTTAATAATATTGCTTTTAATAGTCGTATCTATGTCAAATGTTGATACACCTTAGTAACATTTTTAATTGTTTTGTTTCTTAAAGAAAGGGAATTAAGGCCTTTGTAAAGGTTTTTTTTAGAGAGAAAGACCCCTTGGTGGAGATGATATCACCAATAATGAGGGGCAGACCAGAACCATTAGGTATCTAAGTGGATTTGAGTGTCTTGTGTTAGGTGCTCCCAAAGAGCCTTCAATGCAAGTTAAGAATAGCTTTTAATGGGTTCAAATGCTTCTCAATATATAAATAAAAAAGAAAAAAAAAAAAGTAAAGCATAAAGAAGCACAATACCTTTTCTTTTCTTTTCATCTCAATTGCGTTAACCAAAGTGGAGAGGCCCACCACCCAATAATGCCCTCATAAATTTTTCACTTGGAAATAATTCAGAGGACACCTAAAATTGGTATGTCCCAAGAGATATTTTGTCAATTTTTTCCAAAAGAAGGCTTAAAAAATAGTGACAGAATTATATTAGTCATGAGGTGCACGAGTAAAATGTTCATTTGCCCTAAATTATAAGGGGATGAATATTTGTAGTCGTCCTTCAAATGGAAGGTGGCCCACCACTGACATTCAAATGAAAGCATACAGCACCATACGCAAGTGGGGTATGGTCTATAACATTACATTAGATGGGGATTTACAATCCGTTTCATTGATTGATGGTGAATATTCATCACAGTTTGATGGATATTCTCTAGCATACCGCTAGGCATATTAATAGGAATATGGATGGTGAATTTTTTCCGTATGGTTTAGCACATTCCATATAACATTGGTGTATGGATCTTATCTAGCATACGGCCGGGAGCTATTGGCGCTGATGTCCACAAGACTTTATCTTTTGGAAAAAGTTTATATAGAGCCGAGGCTCTAAACAATTAAATTAGAGCCCACATCAAAAATTTCATTAGAAGAGGTTGTTTTGATATCTAATATCTTCAAATTGATCATTTGGACATCAAGATGCATGAACATGAGAAAAAAATGGATTTCAAGTTTTAGAAATAGTGCATCTTGTAACACGTTTTGGACCGTCAATTTTCAAGATTTTCAAATTTTCATAGATCTGCTCGATCTACACTATTTTTTAAGCTTTAAATTGTATAATTAAAAATAAAAACATATTTTAAGGCTATCACAAAGATTTCTAATATAGAAACCACATTTCTCAACACAATTTGAAGGTGGGTCCTAATTTGATTGTTTAGAGCCTCGGTTCTATACAAACCGCACCCTTATCTCTTCTTTGTTATTTCAGGATATGTCGCATCGCTCTAGTATAGGGCTGTAGGATAAATGTGTTACTTTTATCATATTTTAATTAATAAAAACGGTTAGGGGGCCTTCTTCGCCACTAACTTACCTATAAAAAAAGCCATCTTTTAGCTCCTTCCCTTCAAAAAACGTAAACAATATCTATATCCTAATCTTACTATAGAAAATTCACAGTTGTGACATATGCTATCCAATCCCAAGATGAATGGACAAATGTGATGAATCATGGTTCCGGGATGAATGCTGGTCATATGACCTAGGACTATTTATTTCTACTAAGGACATTTTTGGTACTGTGTGAAAGTACTTCTACAAATATTTATGTGAATGTATTTTCATGTAAAAAACTTTTACATGTAATTAAATATGAAAGGTTTTTCACATCAATTGGCTATCAATTGCTCTGAAAAATTTGTTAGGATCAATGGGTGTGAAAAACCACGCCATCGAATTACATGAGGTAGTTTTTCTACGAAATGACCTATTTTCACATCTACCATATGTGCTGTAAAAGTATTTACAATGAAGAATTTGAGTTTGATGCCCCACTATTGTGTACCGTACACAGATAATCTTTTTTATAATCAATAGACATTAGAGTGGCATATTCCGTCAGCTAATCGATCATAACTATTGCCAATCATAATTATTGCTTTACTAAATTCTATTAGACTACTTTATAGAGTGTGACTGGATTATAAATTACTTTGGCCACGTAAACGTTTGCCCATACACATCCCATGTATGGTGTGTACTTTCCCCTTCTCTTGACGGTTTCACTTGCAACTTTGTCCAATCCTCAAAAATAGCTTGTTTGTCAGCCGGGGACCAGGTGTGGGACCCTTAACGACCGGTCGAACGGGTTTGGATTTGTACGGCGGGTTACGTGCAACGGAGCGTAGTATGAAACGGGGTTGGACCTACAAAGCCGCCGTAACGTGGCGTACAGCGACAACGGAAACTAAGGTTAAACTGCCGGCGCAATGGACAAAAAGGGTCACGGACGTAAACGACGCTTTGCCTTTTTAGTCTCCCCCTCACTCTCTAATGGCCAGAAATCACGGCCGTTTGCAATCTTTTTAGTCTCTGAATCTCGAGCCGCCAAAAGTCATGGGCGAAAGGCTCTGACTCGACTCGCCCAAGCCGCTAAGCCGAGAAGCCACTGAACGGAACATGTGTCGAAGCTTTTTCATTTACGTTCCGTATGACAAATGTTAAAATCCTTTGCTCGCACGTAAGAATCGCGCTTTTGGTTTGAGGTTTATGCGTCGCTTCATATTCGTTTCGTACATGGCGGGAATAGGAGGGAGTAAATGGTCTTGTCATTTTAAGCAATGACGACAATACACCCTAATTTGTGCAGGTCCTTCTAAGTCCATGTATCTCATGTATGTAATTCTAAACAAGTCCTACAATGCGGAGGTGTTTATTAGCTTTATTTATCTTTAAAAAAAAGTATATAATAAGGTCATTTACTTTTGGTACAAAGTGGTCACATAAATGTTGGTCATTAAATGTAAAATTGGGTGACTGCAATTATTCTATTGATCAAATTCAAACTTCAAAAGAACTTTTTTTTGAAATTTATGATACATCCAAGCTGTCAAATTTTACATAAGATGGTTGTAAGTAATGGTGACCACTTTAGGTAAATGGTCTCATTGTATATAATCCCTATCTTTAAATAAAAAGCTAATAAATGTTTTTGAATAGTAAGACTAATTTAAAGAAACAAAAAATCTGGGCAAAATAAAATATATGTGCACCCATGCGTGTCTTGTAAATAGATACGTCCCACTCAGAAATAAAGCCGATGTATAGTTTACTATATATAAACGGTGCATCATTTAAACGGTTTGGTCAATAGCACGGCCTCAGTTAGCTTATTTCAATTTAATTTCTAAGGGTGATTGTAACGTTCTTGTATTAAAGGCAAATAGCAAATGTATCTTCCATATGAAACCGTATAATAAAAATAAATAAACTGTATAACTCGTTTAAGAGTGAGGTTTGTATAAGGTTACATCATTATATTGTAGAAGTATGACACGTCTCTAAAATTTGCTTAGAGATGTCATTCTGGTGTAGTGAAGCTTATGATGGTTTGAAAATCTATCTTTATTCTCAGTCATAAAATTAACATTTCATAAATGATACAGATCGGCCAAATTAATAAACACTTCAAAATCTTGAAAATAGACGGTCCAAATAACTTGTCACAACATGCACTCTTTTTTTTACTTGGAATTCATTTATTCATCATCTCCATACATCTTGATGTCGAGATGATCATTTGGAGGTCTTTTCAATGCCAAAACACTCTCTTATGTAGGAGTTTTTAGCTACACCTCACTTCAATAGTATAAGGTTGCAACTTTATACAAACTTTTCCTCTCTTTTAAGGAAAAAGCTTATATAAAACCAAGGCTCTAAACAATCAATTTAGAGCCCACCTCAAAATATTTATTAGAAGAGGTTGTTTTGATGCTCAAATATCCTCAAATTGATCCATCTCGATATCATGGTATATGGACATGGGAAAGAAATGGATTTCAAGTTTTGGAAATAGTGCATCTTGTAACGCATTTTTGGAACATCAGTTTTCAAGATTTTTAAGTTTTTATAGATCTACTCTATCTATACTATTTTTGAAGCTTTAAATTTTATAATTAAAGATGAAAATATATTTTAAGACTATCACAAAGATTTTAAGTATTAAAACCGTATTTCTTGACACTACTTGAAGGTGTGCCTTACTTTGACTGTTTAGAGCCTGAGCTATATACAAACTACACCCCTCTTTTAATGCCTAAGAATGTTTGATTTGGACAATTTCTCTATTAACTCTGATAAGACAATCTTATGATATCGTATCTTCTTACTGAATTACCTCTCCCAGTTTATTAAATCATATCAAAATACTCTAGTCTTACCAAGTCTATTGAAGATTTTTCTCTTGCACAAAATTACGGGGACTTATTTTTTCATTCCAAGTTCTTTTATTTCTTTCACATTACAAGTCTATTGAAGATTTTTCTGTCTTATTTTCTTCATCCCAAGTCCTTCTCCTTTCGCATTACAAATTTCCCCAAGTTGAGAGCTCCCCGGTATTGACCTAAATGGTAATAAATAATGTTTAATTGCGTCCTAACGGCTCAAAGCACGCATTCGATACTCAGGCCGACACTTTCCCAAAATTAAGGATACTTAGGGCGGATTCCAAAAACATCAGGGGCATTACCGTCCTTATGAAAAAAAAAAAAAAAAAAGCTAAAAACAACAATATGCTTTAACTATTTAGGTCTTCACCAAAATATTAGAGGCAGAGGAGAGAGAAAGTATATATGGGTGGGGCCCTTTTGGTCACAATTTAAGGAGAAATAGTTAAGAAATTGAATACCGGTGAAAGGGGAGTGGGAGCGCCTGCCTCAACACGAGGTTTTATAAACAAATGGAGGAGAGAGAGAAGGCAACTCGCAATGCATATGTGTGCCTTTCTTTATCTAAATAGAATCATAGATCATTGATTTTTTTTGCTTTTACCCCAAATTCTGGCCTCATTAGAGACCAGTATAGGAGAGAGACCATTTTTAGGTTGGTTGCAGAAGAGTATTCAGAAGAAAGGGACCCAAATTTTCATTTAGCTGCAGAGCAGAGCAGAGTGAGTGAGGGGGGCCAATAATGAGGATTAGGAGGCAATGCTGTAGCAGATGCCTCAGCTCCTCCATGAAAAAAACGGCCCTCTTCGTTCTCATTGCCTTCTCTTCAGCCACTGCTGTAAGCTTCGATTACGGTGAAGCACTAAAAAAGAGCCTTCTCTACTTCGAAGCTCAGAGATCGGGGCGGCTTCCATACAATCAGAGGGTAACATGGAGAGACCATTCCGGCCTGACCGACGGCCTCGAACAAGGAGTCAGAACTCTCTCTATCTCTCCCTATGATATCAGAACCTCTTTCTCTCTCACAGAAGAAGTTCAAACTTATTTATAAATTGTGCTTTCTATGGTTCAAATGAGAATGTTGCTGTCTCTCTAAAAATTAGAGAGGTTGTTCATATTTTTGAATGGTTTTTATCAGGTTGATTTGGTTGGGGGTTACTATGATGCGGGGGATCATGTTAAGTTTGGGCTTCCGATGGCGTTCACTGTTACGATGCTCTCGTGGAGTGTGGTTGAGTACAGAGATGAGATCAAGGGTGCAGGGCAGCTTGCTCATGCGATGGAAGCCATCAAATGGGGCACCGATTACTTCATCAAAGCCCACACCGAACCTAATGTCCTCTGGATCGAGGTAAACCAACCTATTCACGACTTACTACTCAACTGAACCCAAAATGGCCCATTATGTGTCCAAATTTTGATTTGGTTTTCCATTGAAGAGAGAAAGAGAGAGAGAGGTTTCAAAATCTGATTAATTTTGGTGATTCTTTGGCATAGCTGATTTCTCTCTGTGTTTGTGAATATGTTTAGGTAGGGGATGGGGATACCGATCACTACTGTTGGCAGAGGCCCGAGGACATGACGACATCGAGGCAGGCCTACAAAGTCGATGCCCAAAACCCAGGTTCCGACGTTGCTGCAGAGACCGCGGCAGCAATTGCTGCCGCGTCCATGGCGTTCAGGGACTCCAACCCACATTATTCCCACCTCCTCCTCCACCACGCCCAGGAGGTGACCTATCCCTCTCTTTCTATCTCTATCTCTCTAGACTCAGAAATCACTGGAAAATTGTCCAATTCAGTGAGAGAAAAATAATTGATTTTTGAAATATGCATGTAAAATAATATTTTAACTAACCGATAAGGCTTTTATGGACTGACCATGCGTACATTCGTGGCACAGTTGTTCGATTTCGCCGACATGTACAGAGGGAAGTATGATGGTAGCGTAGGTGCTGTGAAGAGTTACTATGCGTCGGTGAGCGGGTACAGAGATGAGCTGCTGTGGGCCGCAATGTGGCTCTACAGGGCCACTGGGAACGACCAATACTGGGCCTACGTGGTTAACAACGCAGAGTGCTTTGGGGGCATCGGCTGGGCCATAACCGAGTTTAGCTGGGATGTTAAGTATGCTGGACTTCAGATCTTGGCCTCCAAGGTACCATTGTTTTGCTACCCATCTTATTCAATAGACATCACTTTTTATTTTTTTTGTGGAGAATTTCTTTCTGTAACTTATTTTCCATTTAGTAATAGGGTGGGCCAGGCCAAGTCGCCCAGGACCTAATTTTTCAAAGCCACGCAGACCTGGTTAGGTCAGTTGCCCTGCCCATTGCCAGCCCTAGTCGGCTCAACATAGTGAGTTGCGATCCCAATTAAGTACCCCTTGAACTCATCTAGGTTTACCATTGATTTTAATTTTTTTTAAATGCCAAAAAAACCTGAAGAGCTAGCAAAGCCTAATCCAAATCGAACAAGCTGGTTTGGTCCATTTGTTAAATTTTTAAGACGGGATTGTCTATAAAGATATCATTTATCTTTTGCACATGGAAATCACAATTACTCTCTTTTTAAATTTCAAAATAGATGGTTGTAAAGATTCAAAACAACCTTTTATTGATCCAAATGAAAAGAATAAATAAAAAACCATACAAAGTAGAAGTGAAGAAGTCCTTTGCTCGGGTAATAAGTTAAGAACCTTGGTTCATCGCCGTTTGTCCTCAAGACAGATGGTGGAAGATATGTCTGAACTACATTAGAGGAAACGGAAGGTTCACCGTACTACATGTAGTACGATAGAGAACTATACTCTGTCCTGGGCATCCAGGGAATGATGAATAGTGACTTTCGATTAGGGTAAGCTTTTCAAACGTATGCCATAAGCCGTACTCCATAATTGATCATATAAACAACATGGTGATCTCAGGGGATCAAAGTGTAAGGTTGCATGATACTATCCCAAAAGTTGGGGAAATATTGTGAGACTGGAAATTCAACTTTTTCTCAATAAAAATTTTAAAAAATATTTTGACATCATGGAATTCTAGATCTCATCAATCGGTAAACTGGCCGATTCGAATCAAGCTTGAAGGTGGAAACAATTTGGAGTAATTGTGAAACTCAATCTTTTTCTCAACAAAAAATCAATTACAAACATATAAAGATAATTTGAGGGTTTAGGGTTTAACAAAGCCCACTAAAATGGTATTGTTGCTGCCATGCCAAATGATCATTTGGAAACCTAACGACCACAAAATTCTATTCGTATAATCTCAAAATGAGGTATGGGTGCGTAAATTTCGGTGGTGGAGCAAGTTAATGTGCTCTGACAATTTCTCCGCTAATTTTGCCTTTTATTTCGTTGTTGATGAGGTAGAGTACACCACGTCCGTATCTTTTTTGGCTGAGTGTCGATCCAGTCCAGTTAAATTGTTTCGATCATCTATTAAACTATGGTCAAATCATTTTATACAGAGGGTCAAGTTTATATGAAGTACCCACCTTATACTGTACAAATAAGGTCCACCTGAATTTTGTTCAAGGATGCGTTTCAGGTGTAAAAAAATCTATGTTCGACTGACCTGCCTATTAAGACTTCCCCTTTGAGGTCGACGACAGCACTCATTCAGCTGTGAAGGTTGGGCCATCCGAAGATGCCTACTTGTAGTCCGTCCATTAGAGCTATTAGGAAGTCTTCTTTTTTTTTATAGGGTCATGGCATAAAAAAATCAATTCTTGAGAACCCGTATTCGAAGTCAAAGTCAAAAGAGAAAGCTCATATCAAAGCATTCGGAATCGACAAAGGACTATAATTATAAAATTTAAAATTAGTGCAGATTAAGCACATCTATAAACAAAATAAATCTTTGAAAATATATTGTCTGAATAAGTTGTTTTAAAATGAACTTCTTTTAGGACTTAAAATTTTCATTTTCTTTATACTATAAGTCAAGATGATCAATTAGAAGGTTTTCTAACTTCAGTAAACTCTTTTCTAGTGAATTTTTTAGGTGCAACTTACTTCTATAGTATAAAGTTGCAACCTTATATAAACTTTTTTTTTAAAAAACAATTAAATATATATATAATAATAATATAAAATGTGTTAAAAAATTTCTCAACTTTATTTAATTAGTCAAAACCAGTTAAAACTAGCTCGTCCAACCAGCCAAAATGCATCAAACGTTAGTTTTAATTGAATTTTAACAAAATCAAACAAACCAAAATCTGTCAAACATTAATTTTAACTTAATTTTAACCAAACCCAAATTTTATCTGACGACACCCATCAACAAACCGGTCAGCATTGTCCAACCACTATTTCGGTCCAATCGCTCTTTACCGCTTTAAGGCGTTGTGATGTCATTTTGTCAACGACATCTATATATTAAAAGCGTTTAAATCAAAGGCCTCGTAACTCTAGTTTCCTTACATGCCCCCAAAAAAAAAACAAAAAAAAACTCTAGCTCAATGGATTATTAATTCTGGGTGAATGGATTGGACCAATGATTTAAAAATCGGCGAGTCGAACCAAACTCGTCCGGTTCAACTCGGGAATCGGCATAGCCCGTGCCGGTTCCAACACAAAATCGGGAACCGTGCGGTTCTAGAGTAGAACCACCGGTTCCCACCCGATTCTGTCCTGTTCTGTCCCGTTCTAGTGGTTTCCTCCCTGTTTTAGCCTCAAAAGCAGCTTCACACATGAGTACGCGTCACGCATGCGATACACACCATTCCCACATGTGTGTACGTGTGACACAAGTGGTACACACACTCCCATACGTGCCATATGTGCGACACGCACATGCACGCGTGTACGTGTGCACCGGTTCTAGCTGGTCCAGGCCTCAAAAATACCTTCACATATGTGTACGTGTCACACGTGCGACATACACCACTCCCACATGTGCCACACGTGCGACACGCATATACACGTGTGCATGTGGGCGAATGCCCTAGTGTTTTCACACTTATGTTTATCTTTCAATTACATATTTATATAGCATATTTGAATACTCATCCTTCGTTGTGGGATAATTCCCAAACATCATTAAATGAAAATATATGCTATTAATAGGCAATTTTAAACACATATGCTGAGGAGGCATGATGGTTATCACTAATGTTATCTTTTTCGGCTTCTCAAATTCGAATCCCCCCTTGGGCCATATAGTAGTTTATCCCTTCTTGAACTAAATTTTTTTTCCCCTTGGGCATATAATATATTAAAGTGTTATTTTCAAAATCTATACGTATTTTGTTAATTTTTACATTGATAACCAAATCTTTTATTTTATTTATTAAATTTTACATTATAAATCAAGTAATGTACTATTTTTCTTACAGTTGTCAATAATACATTTTAAATTAGATAATATTATAAAATATTTTTAGTTTGTTATTATTTGTCTAATAAAATAATTATAAAATGTAAACTAACAATTATAATTTCAGTATATAATATTATAATTAGTTAGTTGTAATAATTTTGGATTATAGTTAGTTAGGCCGTAATAATTTGGGTTTTTTTAGCGGATTAGGGTTTTTTGCCAAAACGAGATTTTAATGGCCATTCTTTCATTGATTTAGTCTACCCTTTATTATAGTCCATGTATAATTATATATTTTATCCATAATAATTCTGTGATTTTTCTTTTATGTGATGCAAGTTTAATCCTTAAGTTTATACAGAGAAAGAGCATCTCAATATTCACAAATTGATGAAAAAAATGAAAGTTAATAATGTTGTACCCTCATTTCTTATTGGAATTCCTAAAAAATAATATTTATAATGAATTTTAATAATTTTTTCGGATTTTTTTGAAGCTTTAATCCGACTGATTCAGCCGATTCCCGATCCGGATCGCCGTTTCGCCGATCCGGATCGATTTTTGAGGTGCCCGATCTGGGTCACCGATCCGCTTTTTAAACCATTGGATTGGACTTATTCTGGTTCGATGGCTTAGACGACAAAGCCACCTAAAATGATTGGTAGTTTCTTACGGAAAATCGTAACAATTGGTTTAAACCAGTTTGACTTGGTTGAACGTATGAACTGACCACTTGGAAAGAGATTATTGACCAAACGTGCTAAATCTAGTGTTCAAATGTCTTGTTAGGGAAAGCTTTTTATGTTCCCCTACAATCGTCCATTTTTTATCAAGAGAGCCACTTACCGTTTGATCTTAGATCTAACGTCTCAACATATTTTATTTTTAGGTTTTTTATTACAATTTTTTTAAATATTAAATTTGGTACGTGCCAACTTCTCATTGGGGCACACCTATAAAAAATATTTACAATAATTTTTTGATAAAAAATAATGACCAAAATACCCCTTAAAAATTTCAGTGGTATTTTGGTCATTTTATTTTATTGAAAATATTTTTTTTATATTTTTCGTTAGTGCAAGTTTAATAGAGAAATGGATGTCCAAAATTTGATGTCAAAATAATTTATAAAAAAAATTAAAAATAAAATAATGTAGAAGCGTGACATTGTGATTGGGGCAATCTTAGCCCTCCATTAAAAAATGGACGGTTGGATAAGGGGAAGGATAGAACTTCTATGTTGTAAAGGGAATAGAGAAAGCTTTCCCATGATTTCATACGGTTGTATAGTATAATGTATCCATCTTTAAAAACAATCTTAAAGACATTTGTTTGACACGGGTTTTTAAATGTATGCTCTTTTTATTCTGAAGAACAATCACAAAAAAGAAAGTTTTGAAAAAGTACCCTTGAAAGTGTTTTTCTAACCCCATCAATATAAGCCATCCATTTTAGTGAGATGGTTAGATATAGGCTTTAGAAGGATCTTTTTATTCTCAAAACTTTTATATAGCGTTATCATCATTAGATTAACAATGTTAAAAAAGAAAAGAAATGATTTTGAATTTGTTAAGGTCTAGATCTTGAAATTCACCAAATGGATAGTCGAGATTCATTGTTGGAGAGTACTAATTTTGACCACATCAAGGATGCAAATTTATGTATTTTTTCGTAGGATTGATTACGAGGATGAAGAGAATGTGTGTACAAAATTTGAGGTCATACATATGTCAAAAACATGGGTTTCTAAAGGTGTGGTTACATTATACTACTATACAGCCGTTGCATGAAATCATTTCCCTTAATAGAATGTTGTCATGGACAGGCC